GTAGGCACTATATGTCCACATATGTGTAAACAGTAGGCACTATGTGTTCAGCTGCTGTAGTTATTAGGAGCATACGAGTGCATTTCTGCAGTAAATGTATTGGGGAAAAAACCCTCAAACTTGCAGACAAAGCCCCACAAAGTTACCAAGTGACCCTTCAAAGATATTTCAGATCATTGGCTAATAACCCCACCTACAGTGTCACCTGGGGGAGGTGATTTCTCTGGACAGCTGGGTTTTTTTCTACCCCTTCCTCCCTCCCTCCCTTCCTCTTTCTTTTGACAGGGTCTGTGTGCTGCTCAGACAAGTGTCAAACTCATAGTCTCAAATGATCCTCCTGTCTCAGCCTCTCGAGTAACTGGAACTACAGATCTCCGTCCTATGTGCGGCAAACTTATTGTTTTCTGCTCTTTAAGGGCCAGACTTTGTAAAACAAGGGGTCGGGTTGCTCAAGATTGACAAACAGCAAATTATTATTATTATTATTTTTATTATTAGTATATCGCATCCTTAAATTTAACTTTATGTGTGTAGGTATTTTGTCTGCATATAGCTCTGTGCACCAAGTGAGTGCCTGGTGCCCAAGAAAATCAAAACAGGGCATCAAATCCCCTATAACGTGGTGCTGGGGACCAAACTTGGGTCCTGTGCCAGATCAGTCAGCGCTCTTATTGTTGAGCCATCTCTACAGCCCCCCTAAATTATTTTTATTTGGCAAAAAAGTAAAAACCAGTTCAGGTTTTACTGCCAGTCGGGAATTTATTTCCTTCTAACTTTTCCATCTTCTTCCCGTGCTCCTGGCCCCACGGTCTTCCATTTCTTCCTCTGGTCCATTCTGTCGCTCCACTTACCGAGTAGTTAAATAGCGTTTGCCCCTCATGATCCATCTGCACTAATCTTGCATTAATTACTTTTCTTGTTCACTCCACGAGGGGAAGGCCCAGCGGCTTGAGGTAGCAGGCCACATGGCACCTGCAGTCAGGTAACAGGGAAGCCTGTGCTGGTGTCTGTCTTTCCATTCAATGTGGGCCCCAGTCGGTTGGACCGTCCTCGAGGTCAGGAGGTTCTCTCTTCCTCAGTTAGACATCTATGGATACCCAGAGGCATGTCTTTTGTGTGACTATAAATCTCACGAAGTTGAGGATAAAGAAGATACAAACAGGGGGCTGGAGAGATGGCTCAGAGGTTAAGAGCACTGCCTGCTCTTCCAAAGGTCCTCAGTTCAATTCCCAGCAACCACATGGTGGCTCACAAACATCTGTAGTGAGGTCTGGTGCCCTCTTCTGGCATACAGACAGAATATTGTATACATAATAAATAAATAAATAAATAAAGATTTTTTTTAAAAAAAGAAGATACAAACATGACCACCCGAGGGGAGATTTTCTTCTTGACAAAGGCCGCGCCATGTATGCGTTTCTACCCTTGGTTATTTACCTGGTACAACTGGAAGCTAGATTTCTCATGAGAACAGCTGGCTCTCTCCCACTTTAAGACACACTGCACAAAATACAGTGTATGGCTATTACCATGCAACCACTGTAGCCAGTTCCCTGCTGGCAGACTCCGGGTTGCTCCCCTCCCCTCCTGCAGACACTGCTGTTGACAGCCTGTACATTCCGGGGAAGCAGGTTCCTGAGGGTAGAAGGAGCTGGGAAGCAGAAGAGGCCCCCAGACAAGGATGTGTCTTACTTACCTCTAGCTTAGCTTAGCCCACCACCCCATGGTTCTTTGCTCCTTCTTTCTGCTTCTTCCTCTCCTGGTATCTCCAGAGGGGAAGAGCCAGACTTGGCGGCCCTGCAGGCCTGAATATCAACTCACACTGCCTAGAGGGAGAGGGTGCCCTGGAGAGGAGGATCTTGGGGGTCTTGGGGATCTGTGACCTGGTACCAGTACTGTCCCTGGACTGTAGCCACTGGGAGAGCATACTTCGAGGGCTCTGGTAGGGGACAAAGGCCTGGGGAACAGGGACAACCTGAGGAGGCTGGGGTGCTGGGGGAGGGGCAGGGACAGTACCCAGCAGCTCGGGCACTGACTTGCCTCGAGTGCCTAGCTTGGGTGGGTGATCCGGGCATAGTGGGAGGCAGGCCGTGGTGAGGAAAGGACTGGCCAAGCTGGTGGTGACGGTCACAAAGTGGTCCAGAACACCCCCTTCCTGTGGACACTCAGCAAAAGAGAGGCTCAGGGTAGCTTGCAGCCTTTCTAGGAGAGATGGAGCAGCCTGGGCCTGGGCCACAAGCTGGGCCAAGGCTGGCCACTCTGGCTGGTATTGCTGACTGAGCTGTTCTGCCTGGGGCCGCCTAAGCAGTTGCCGGATCCTCCGCACTGTGTTGAAGCTGTCAGTCAGAACAGCCCACTCCAAGGCTGTCTTGCCACGGACCAGATCCACGGAGTTCAGGTCAGCACCTGCAAGCGAACACGTGTGACAGGGATGAGTTAGGGAGCTGTGGTTTGTACATGGGCACATTCTTCAGTAGCAAGGCTGGTTTGGGCTAGATTCAAAACACCTCCCAGATTGGAAGCCCGGGTTCTGTGTAAAAGACAGGCAGCTATCAAAGTCAGGAGGTCGGGGAGGCGGCACTTGAGGAGAGCCCATGGTGTCTCCAAGAGGCTCATAGGGCTCCCTGAGAAGTGTGGGGCACAGGCTGAGAAAGACACACGGTGCCCTTCCTTCCCTGCTAAACCCACCGGGATTGGGAAGGACAAGGACCGCTCAGAGAGACCAGCAGAGGGCGCTGAGAGCCTCATCGGGGGGGATAACGAGGGCCCACAACTCCACAGGCTGACTGGTCCTCCACCAAAGGCTCCAGCCACAACCAAGCACGCCTAGGAGCTGGAGTCGGCGCTCACTGCCTGATGTGGCAGCTTTCACCGTGCTGTGGCTGTGTTCCTCCAGGGTCTCAGGCAATGGCAAACCCGGGACTAGAACTCATTAAACTAGATTCCGGTTTAAAGTGCCACCTCACCCCTAACTTTTTCCCATCTGATGTCGCACTCTTTGCTGGGCCCTCCATAAGCCGAGCTGGGGGTGGCAACACCCGCCTCTATTAAGTTGGCCTCGATCCATATTCCATCCCCTCCTCAACTGCTGTAATTCAATGGTGTCTAGTGGGGTGGTAGCGGAGGGCATGAAGCCACACACCGGCCATGAGGAGGGCAGCCACACAGTCAGAGCGGTCCCGAATGGCAGCCTTCATCAGAGCCGTGAGTCCCCGCTGGTCTCTGCGCTCCAGGTCCAGGCCAGCGAAGTAGTTGAGCAGGAGAGTCACCAGAGTCATGTGACCTGAGAGACAGGACCACAGAACTGATTCCCAGGTAAACGGACGATGAAGCCTGGCCGGAGAGACCCCTTGTGCAAGGTTTGGGGTTGTGGCCCTGATGGCTGAGAGCAAGGGTGAGATGGGGTGGGGGGACGAGGGAGGGGATGTTGGTTGGGGTGGGGGGTGTCTTGCACCTGCTTGAGCAGCCAACATGAGGGCTGTGTTTCCGTCTTTGTCCTGTTGGTTCACATCCAGGAAAGGACAGCAACTGAGCAGAGCCACAATGGTACCAAAGCCACGGTAGCATGCCACCATGAGGCCTGTCTGCAGACAGAGCAGTTTGGACCCCCACTTTCCACTAAGTTCTCCTTAGGACCCCCGCCCTTGCCCTCTAAATCTGCACCTTCCCAGAGCCTGTCTCAACCCCAGTGAAGACAGGTCTAACCCATCGAAAGAGTGGGGACAGCCTCTGGAGCTCTCTGGGGAGCCAGACCAGGATGCTCTCAGGATGGGGGTGGGAGCTGAGCTGTTCCCAGCTGCCCTGCTAATCCTTGGGCATCTCACCCTCCCATTGCTGTCTGTCTGGGAAACCTCCTCTGGGGAGACCCCGGCATCCAGCCTTGCTTGAAGCTCAGCGGGGTCATTGTGGACACAGGCCCAGTACAGGGTCTTCAGATCACAGACAGGGGTAGGAGTCTCGTCGCTGGGACAGGATGGTGCCTCAGACATGTCCAACCCTTCTGAGTCAGTGGTGGCTCCTCGGCTTCCAGTCTGGGGCAGAAAGGTGAGTCCCTCTTGAGTCAGCTGGCAGCTGTGACAGAGTGAAGAGGGACAGTTTCTCCCGCAATCCTGGGCAGATGTCCCTGGAGCTGCACCCATCTCCCCAGGGAAAGCTTTCACCCTGATGGGTGTCTTGCCCTGCTTGTGGGTTAGGTTCCCAAGGAAGTTCACGACAGGGGCTCTCATTTCCCCGCCCCCCGCAACCTTACCTGGGGTTCTAGGATCTCCAAAAGACCATCATGGCAGGCGAACCTGTGGCTCAGCGTACCCCGCACCTCCAAAACCACATCAGCCTTCTGTGGAGTAGCTGAGGGACTGTCTGTCACCAGGAAGCAGGCCGGTGACAGATGGCTGTGCCTGCGGAAAGCTGCCATAAACACTTGGGGCTGAGCTGGGTCAAGCGGGTTAGGAAGGGATTGGGGGCCTGGAAGGGTGGCCGTCCTGTCTGCTGTTGCCCCATCCAACCCTAAGATCCCACAAGACCTGCCTGGTGGTGGCTTTTCCAGGCACCGGCGAAGTGGATCCACCTGGGCCCATCATTCTCACCGTCATTACAAGAAGTCAGCTGCTCTTCGAAGCGAGAAGCAAGAAGAGCATCATGAGGGTCTTAGGCCCAGCTCCAGAGCCCGAGCCCGAGAGCCCCTCCACTTCGGGGGAGCGGATTTGGGGAAGAAGACACAGCTGTGAATGGGAGAAGGAACAAGCATTAGATAAGCATGAGTGGGGAGCTGGGCTCCAGGGTTTACCCAAGGAAATCAAAGCACAGAGTTGTCAAGAGGCTGGAGAGGTGGCTTAGAGGTTAAGAGCACTGGCTGCTCCTCCAGGAGGTTGTGGTTCAGCTCCCAGCTCCCGTTGAACAGCTCACAGCTGTAACTCCGGGGCCAGGTAATTCGATGCCAAGCCCTCTTCTGGTTTCTGTAGGTAATTGCACTTACATGGTGACAGACATACACTACCAAAACACCTAAAACATAAATATTAAAATAAAAATAAATTTTGGAAAAGAAATTATGATGTATTCATTTTAATGGATTAGATTTGAAGTGGTAAGTGAAATATGACATATTTAAATGATATATTAAAGTAACAATGGATTTGTAGTGCCCTCTTTGGAACTGGTAAGCTGAATGACTTGGAGCTCAGACTGCATGCGCTGGGGTACTTCTCTTTCTGGTTTCATATTGTTTTCCTCTCCCTTGGTTCCTGAAGCTTTTACCTCCTCGCTTCACCTGTTGGTAATAATATAATAATCATAGAACATGTACATTTCATTTAAATGAGATTTGTTTTTGTTTTGCTATTGTTTAGTCTCTTGTATTTGTTTTATTGGTCTTTTGTTTGTTTTGAGAAAGTATCTTATCTTTCATTTGGTTTGAGAAAGTATCTCAGGCTGGCTTTGAACTCAGATCCACCTGCCTCTGCCTCTCAAGTGTTGGGATCACTGGTACACAGCACCACACCTGGTGTGTGTATTTGTTTTTGTTTGGTCTTCTTCTCTTTTTTTTTGAGACAGAGTCTCACTATGTAGTCCTGGCTGCCCTGGAATTCACTCTGTAGACCAGGCTGGTCTTGAACTGACAGAGATCCACCTGCCTCTGCCTCCCGAGTGCTGGGATTAATGCCACACTGGTTGGCAACTTTAACAGGTTTCTGATTATGCTACAGCACTTCTTGTTTTTAACTTCTGCGATGTAAAGACCTGTCCTAGTGATGTCACATGTGATTAGGAGTTTGAAGGGGTGTGGAGGTGAGGCTGGCCTGGAGATTAGGGGGTTCTGGGCTGGGTTGGCCTGAATTCTCCCAAACTGTCAAGCTGGAAAGCTGAGTCAGCACTTCCCAGCATCCCAGAGCTGTGCATCTGGACTTCATGCTCTATGCAGGTAAACTGGAGCAGAGCTATGTAGATGGGACGCCCGCTTCCTGAGACAGACCTGGCAGCACAGGCAGGCTCTGCTGGGGCTTCCTGATTCATCAGCTTCCTGCAGCGCTGACAGTGAATTTCTCAATCGCAGGCAGAAGTCATGTGACTGCAAAGCTGGCAGTTGTTACAGACTTGCAGCCTACTTTTTCAGCCCTTTCCGTTTGAGCTAACCAGTTGCATTTTTGTTGTCCGTCACTGCACTCTAATGGATACATGTGGCTTAGCAAACAGTTTTATTTTTCACAGAAAAAAAAGTCAGGAGTCGCAAACTGTTGGTATTGGTTAAGAGATCTGATGGGGCCAGGGCCTTGTCTGGGATTCTCCTACTTCTCCTCTTAGTCACAAGACGGCTGCTCAGCTCCATCGAAGTAAACTTCAGGGAACGTGGAATTCTATGCAGTACTTAGCAGATGTCTATGGGTCTGTAGCCAAACATCTCTGACATAGCCCCTATCCATAGCTTCCACCTTTGAGCTGGGTCTGTTTGCATGATGAAAGTTTGGCCCATGAACTGCAGCAGACGTCCGATGGATGGGAACTCTGCTGACTTCATACAAGATGTCAGGGGCATCTGCATCCTGCCGTCACTCTCTCCCCGGATCTTCCTGATGCACGGAATCCCGCGAGTACACACTCCTGTGTGAACCCACCACGTTTACCTTTCCCTTCCCGTTCTTCCCGAGGTCGGGTGCACCTTAAGGAAGCTTCCCTTTGGTTCACAGTTCTAGGGCGCAATCCGCCATAGCAGAGCAGTCGTGGAAGCAGCGGGAGGGCAGGAAGGCGAGCGGCTGGTCACACGGAGTCCACAGCAGGAAGCCAAGAACCTGAGTGCGCATGCCCACCTTGTCTCCTTCTTCTTATTCGGTCCAGGACCTCAGCACATGGGACAACGCTGTCCTTAGCAAAGACGGATCTCCTCCTCGACTAAGTTACCTCAAACAGTCCTTCCCAGCATGTCCTCAGGCTTGTCTCCTGGTGACCCCAAGAGCCTGTGAAGTTGAGAGTATTAGCTCTGACAATGCCCTGGGCTGCAGGCAGAAAATGCTCCAGCGAACAGCCTTGGAGTCACCTAGCTCAGGGCTTGCTGGTCTCGGGACACACACCTGCTTATGGACCAGAGCTTGGCATCCTGCTCAGTTCTGCAAGGTTCCCACCTGCAGTGATTTTCCTCCCTGCAAGGCCAATGATTCCAACTGTTCGCTTCCCATTTTCATCAAGGTGCAGAACCAGGCCGAGAGTGATATCCCCATTTGACGTGAACTTCTCGTCACTAAGGTAAGCCTTTCTCCTCACATCTGATCATCGCTCTTGTTACCACTCCTGGGATTTGCCTGCTTGTGGCCTTTGCCAACACGGTGGCAGAAATGATGGGTAGGGGTGGTGGGTAGTTCTTGCCCCCCCCTTCCGATTCTTTGGGAATTCTTTTAATTTTCCAGATTATAAACCTTATAGATATTATAGATATGACTACCATACTATAATCCAATGGTGACCTCTATTCAAAGAAAGCCTGAGTTTTTATATGGTTAAATTCTTCAAAAATTCTCCTTATAGGGGGCTGGAGAGATGGCTCAGAGGTTAAGAACACTGACTGCTCTTCCAGAGGTCCTGAGTTCAATTCCCAGCAACCACATGGTGGCTCACAGCCATCTGTAATGAGATCTGGTGCCCTCTTCTGGTCAGTAAGCGTACAGATTGACAGAACACTGTATACATAATAAATAAATAAATTAATTAATTAAAAAAAATTCTCCTTATACTATTTTAGTATCTTATTCAAGGAAAACTTTATTTTTACCAAAGATCTTCATTCTTTTTCTTAATCCTTCAGTTTTATTTTCATATTTAGTCTTTATTCTGAATTCATATCTATACACTGACAAAAATATCTGTAGTCTGATTGGTGTCCTATCCCCAATTGAAATGTGATGAGCTAACCCCCAGAGTGAGCGTATTTGGAGCTAGGGCCTTAGATAACGTAATTAAATTTAGGGGTGAAAAAGCTATTCTAGGCCAAAGCAGTTATGTTGAAGGGGTCACCATGTCTCATTTCTAATTACACTACAGAACCATAATGACAGAATGGCATGGCCCTATACCAAAACAATTGTTTAGAAGACACCAAAACAGTTGTGGGCTCTGAATTTTCAAAGTTTTTGTGTGTGTGTATGCGTGTGTGTGCGTGTGTGTGTGTGTGTGTGTATGCGTGCGTGTGTGTTTATGTGTGTGAGTATAGTGCCCACAGATCAGAAGTTGTGTTAGGGGCCCAGGCCTGGAATTACAAACAGTTGTAAGTTGCCTGGCATGGTGACATGGGTGCTGGGAACTGAACAAACAAAACTACCTGCCAGGCATGTTGGCACACACCTTTAATCCTGGTGGCAGAAGGCAGAGGCAGGCAATCTTTGTGAGTTTGAGACCAGCCTGGTTTATAGGGGGGTTACAAGCCAACCGGGGCTACATAGTGAGACTGTCTCAAAACAAAAATCAAAAAACAAGGGCTGGAGAGCTGTCTCAGAGGTTAAGAGCACTGGCTGCTCTCCCAGAGGTCCTGAGTTCAATTCCCAGCAACCAGAACTCACATTGTGAGTTCAATTCTCACAACCTTCTGTAATGTGTTCCCACATTTTGGCATGCACTTCATGCAAGTAGAATACTGTATACATAATAAATAAATATATAAAAAATCAAAAAACAAAACCCAACTGCTTCAAGATATAGTCATGGGCAAGGGCTTTCTTCAAAGAATCTGATGGCTCAGGAAGAGACTGTGAGATTGATGAGCAGATTGGATTGCAGGAACACAGCGAAGGAGGCAGCAGAGTGGAGCAGTCTAGAGAGTGGGAGGACCTTTGCCGCCACAGTTATGAGAGATTAATACACAGAATCCATAAAGAACTCAACAAATTAAACACGAAACCCGAGTCAACCAATCAGTAAGTAAGTAGACAAGTGAATTGAACAGGCAGTTCTCAAAAGAATAACCTCAAATAGCCAAAAATATGTGGGAAAATGTTCTGACACCCTCAGCCATCAGGGAAATGCGAGCTGAAACTATACTTCACCCCTGCCAGAACAGC